TTAATGAGTCTGTGTTCTCCGATTTTTTCTAAAGCCTGTCATTTTTGACATATGACACAAACATATGTTGTTTAAATGGAAACCATAGCTAGCCATGATTTCATAAAAAGCGCCATTTTTTAAGCTATTCAGCGATGTTTTTTCGAAAAATTGTCAAGTTAGAGCAAATTCTTATGTTTCTTGACAAATTTCACTTAGTTGGTATGGAATTCTTATTCTCTTATGATTTATAACTTATAAAAAGATAGAATATATTATTAAATGGGTTCTTTATAATTTACATTGCACAAATTAAAACTTAAAAAATAATATCACTACATAGACTTTAAGCTATTTTAGAAAATGTCAAAAAATGCGTTTATGAGTACATAATCAAATCTGTTTATTAACATTGATCACTATCATTAAATTATCATTGAATTCTCACAGAAGGACCGATCGACTTCATTAAACTTCTCCCGTACCGCCTCTTCGAGTGCCTTTCTTAATTCATAGGTTTATTTGTAAACCTTGTTGTTAACCATACCGCATAAAAAAATCTAAAATGGATAGGTCAGGTGATCGAGGAGGCCCATGCAATTGATGGTCCCACTTTCCTTCCTATCCCTGAGTTTGCATAATTATGATATACCTAAATAATTTTTATAACATTTCTTTCATTATGACAGTAATGTTGGAAGTTGAAACCACTCTACTGATGCGCAAGTATCTAAATTTATCTTTTCTAACATATGTCTTGAAAACCGTTCTCTAAAAAACGTAAGTAACACTCACCGGTCAACGTATCCTCCGTAAAATGTGTAATCAGGAAATGTTGAACCAATAATCCTACACGCCTTTTTTCATTTGAAAAATTCATATTTACAATTTTTGTTTATTTTAATTTACAAAGTTTTTTTTGCGAAAAACTGTCAAATACAGTTTCATATTTCTGAGAGCAACAACAATTGAACTTGTTTCCATGGCTAACTAAATGAAATTGTTTAAAAATGATAATAATTGGCTATAACTCAGTACCTAATTTTTCAAAAAAAAGATATTATAACTTATATCGCTGAAAAGCTTAAAAATTAGCGCTTTTTGATCAAGTCATAGCCAACTATGGTTTCCATTAAAAAAAATATGTTTGTGTCATATGTCAAAAATGACAGGCTTTAGAAAAAATTGGAGAACATCGTAGAAAACTCACCCTGTATATAACGTCAAAATTAACATAAAACATTTACAATAATTCAGTTTGTCAATGAGTTTTAAATTTATACATTGAGGCATTAAAAATGTCAATGGCCACCGACATATTTTTTTCATTTATATCGACACCTTCTTGGTATGTCTGGTACCTACTCCAGAAACAAAGAGAATGTGAACCAGCCACCTATAACGAACATGGTCCGATGACTTATTTCTGGCAAGAGTTAAAAATAAATTCCCTACGCTCCGGCACGGAAAAAGGGACGCACATCGACGTGTCCACCGCGACAATCTGTTGGCCTCACGGAGCCGCTCGCGTCTTGAACGTGTTCTTCACACGGCTTCACATGTGTGCTGATCCATGGGCATTCTCTCGTGGTGATGTGACGACACCACGGATGGCACGCATAGACGCCATTCCGCTAGATTGGTTCAAGTTGGTTGGAATATCACCGGTCTGCAAAAAATAAAAGAATAAATTATCATGCCCATTTCTGTGAATTCTTACGTAAAATGACGCTCTGAATCCAAATATTGTTTCTCTACCAGCCACCATTTTTGGGGGAGCCCTCCCACTTTATTTATATCATGTTTTTATCACTTTTTGATAATAATAATGCCAAAGGAATTAAATACCTGAAGATGAAAAGGGCCCAAGTCCCAGAAAGCTAATTTTAGGAAAATGAAAAATAAGATTTTGCAGAAATTAGATTGTGTCAGGTTTTTTTATATATTGTTTAACTTTTACTATGTTAAACTAGCGTACTTTTGGGTATCAGAAGGAACAGAAAAAGTTATAAAATGTTATTTGGATAATGGAAAAATGATATAAACAGGATTAACGACTTGGGCAAGTTTTATTTTCAGAATACAAAATAACCATTTTTAATGCGAAAACATTAAAATCATATAATATATCAGTAACAAAACAATGCATCAACTAATATCAGTGCATTATTCCCTATTTTCCATTTTGCCGTTTTGTTCTCCATCCTTAGATCTTAAGGTAGTATAATACTCTCTTTTATCTTCATCCAGAAATCGACATAAGCTTTGCACATTTTGTATTTTAAAGTTCTTGATAGGTAGGTTTTCATTGTATAGCGTTTCCTGTTGTGTAGATGATATACGTACGTTTGCCATTAACAAACTGAACGAATCTTCGATATGCCCGGTCATATCTTGGGATACAGAAATCCTGCTTTGTGGTACTTGGAAAATCTAAAAACTTTATATTTCGTAACTTGGTATTTCTGTTTATTACATTGAACTGTTTTTTTGAAAAAGGAATCTTGATGGTATTTGAAGGCTATGAATTAGTTCCTTTCGTTCCGTGGTCAGAATAGATCATTGGAACTAATTCGTTCACGAACTACACATCTCTAATCCACCCAAACTATTGAAAATTTGTAAAAATAGGAAGGGGTCTCCCCTCAAAATGAGGAGGAAGGATAAGACATTAACGTATATAATTTGATTATAGCCAACAAAATTATAAAAATGACATATCGTATGGAATAAATTAAAAATTCTAACTAACCATCATGTGTAACTGTGGTCCGACACATGTGTCGGTTTGAAAAAACAAATTTCCACTGTCTCTATGTATCCCCACTTACGATCATAATTTAATTAACAATTTCTCTGAACTTTTCGTTCACAGTATTTTCTATGTTAAAACAACTTTTTATATCCCCAAACATCTTAACAGATTTTTCTATAGTAGAGATATTTATATAATAAAATTATATAAGGATTCTTGCTACTTAACTGCTGATATAGAAATTTAATTTTACGCTGTGTTTGTCATAATGATCAACCTGCTCTCACTACGGTTTCGGAGCCCTACTCCATTATCAAGTGAGCTTGGGCAGATCCACAAAATGACAACCACAGCTCAGAGTAGTTAATTCCGATTTGTCGGAAATAGCATTGTATAAATATTTATCTATCACTAAAGGCTTATATCAAATTCAGAAATTTCAATTATTTTGCATAGATTTTTTACCAATGGAAAAAATAAAATCCAGCTTGCCAGTGGTTTTAACACTTTTGCCCTAAAAACAAAATACTTAACTTCAGTGATGAGCAAATGCTAAAAGGCCTAAAACCACCAGTACTAGGAGAAACGGAGATTTCATTTGCCAAAAAACAAAGTATCTTGGGGATATTTTGACAGTTAGCAAAGTGTTAAAAACCACTGGCAAAGCTGATTTTTTATTTTTTCCATTACAGTAAAAAATCTATGCAAAATAATTGAAATTTCTGAATTTGATATAAGCCTTTAGTGATAGATAAATATTTATGATACTATTTCCAACAATCAAGGTCACTAAACTATACTTCTTAGGGTTGTTCTTTTGTGGATCTGCCCAAGCTCACATGATGATGGAGTAGAGCTCCCGGTAGTGAGAGCAAGTAGATCTACATTATGACAAACACAGAATTAAATTTCTATATCGGCAGTTAAGCGAAGTCATATGCGCAATTTTATTAACATATCTCTACTATAGAAAAATCTGTTAGCGAGGAGATATAAAAGTTGTTTTAACATAGAAAATACTGTGAAAGCCGAATAAATTATGATCGTAGTGAAGGCTAGGAACAGTGGTATTGTTTTAGGCTCATTTTGTCGGACCAGTTATGGTGGTGGATAGGAGGCACAATTTATTCCATACGATATGTCATTTTTGTTGACCTGTAAATTATATGCGTTAATCCTCTCGATTACAAATTTTCAATAGTTTGGGTGGATGCAGAGTGGTTCAATGATGTTCTTCCTGGAAGCTGAAACAATCTCAAAAACAGTTCAACTGTAATGCCAGAACCAGCCTCGGTTCCAAGCCTCTAAGCAGAAGATTTGCGACCGGGCAGATTCATTCGGTTTGTTAATGACTTAATACGTATATCTGCTGAAAGCGCTGCTGTGAAAACCTGGCAAGCACCAAGCTACTCTGAATGAGCAGAAGAGTGGTACTACGCCGTCTGGGATGGAGAACAAACGGCAAAAGCTGGAAAATGAATGCACTGATGAACCCGATGCGACGTTACTGATATGATTTTAATGTTTTCGTAAAAATGGTTGTTGCAGCCATTCTGAAACTTGCCCAAGTCGTCAATCTGTTTATATCGACTTTTTCCATTAATCAAATAACGACACGCTGGCAATACATAACC